TGCAGTACTAGTGTGCCTTGGCTGTTAGCTTCTCTGGGTTAGGCTAGTTATTGAGGTTGTCCCATAGAAAGCCTAGGTTGACCTTCCACAATGCACCATTTTTTACAAGGTGTTACCAACCAGAGATGGCCCTGCCTCTTGTTCCTGTGAGTGTTTTCCAACCATGGGAGGCCACAGGACATTGCGGTCCATGCCACTTCTCTGCCTGGTGCTGTCCATGGGAGAACCACTGGCCTTCACCTTGCACAGCTGCCAAGCCAGCACGCTGCACCAGCCCTAACCCCGCTGAAGCAGGGGTTCCCAAACAGCACCTACCCCAGGCTAAGGGACCAGCCCTTTGAAGAGCAGTTTGGAAACTGCAGCATGAGAGGCGAAGCCACAGAGGCCCTAGAGCCCACCTGTCCCTTCCCCTAGAACAGGGCAGAGGCAGAAGTTCACAGCACAGAGCCCCAGCAGTGCCCCAAAGGCAGCCAAATGCGTTTTGTTATGAAAGTCTGGAATGAAACACTGTATGAACATCCTGAGCAGGAACAAATACGGGGGGCCAGTCTGGGCTCCATCCCCACCCCCTCCCAGCAGAGCGGGTGCGGGACGGTGCCATGTACTCACTGCAGAGAGAAAAGCACATGGAAGGCAGGCGTTTAAAAGTCAAGTGAAGGACTTCGAGGTTCACACAGTATGTGAATGCTGTAGTTAAAAAGCTGCCCTAGAACCAGCTTTGCCATCCGCCAAGGCTAGGATGTTAGGCAGGACAGGCCCACCAGGACTTTGGCTGGGCTGAGCAGATTGCAGTGGGAGGGCCTGCCCGCAGGGTCAGCCCTGGAGCTACAGGATGGCACAGCGGTCAGGTGGATCCCTGTGTGCAGCTCCAATCTCAGCCCCAGGGTTGGTCTGTGTCACACCAGGTGATCCCAGGCAGGGAGGCAGGTGAAGCATGGTTAAACCTTCGTTTTCTTAAGGGGGGAGCCAGCAGGTCCAGCTCAGAGATGTCATTTGCCGTGAACAGGATTCTCTGGCTGATCTTCCCGATTGTCTCCACCTGGAAAGAGGAAGCCACACAGAAGACCTCAGCCCAGCCATCCTGCCCCGTAGGCTCATCCCCACATTAGTCATCAGTCAACTGCAGCAGCAGAGAACCAAACCCACCACCTCCAGCACCCAAAATCCAGGGCTCTGCTAGAGGAGTCAATGGACCCATAGGGACCAGTACAAACTGCACCCAGCAGAGGGCAGTGTGCACATCACCAGACAACTCACTGCACCTTCGCCATTTGCTCTTTACCTTCTCCTGCCATGGCCCCCAGTGGCCTGAATCCTCATACGCACACACGCAGAGGTGCGGGGTGCAGAGGAAGTACCTGAAAGCCTAAGTGCTGCGGCCAATAATGCAAACTGTCCAGGATTCTCCTGCCATCAAAGATAGAGGCTGGTTTGAGCATCGCCTTGTGGATTCTCTCATACTCCAGCTCCTGGTGCAACACAGAGGGGGAAAGGGCTTAGCAATAACGCCCTCAGCCGCAGCCACCTCATCCAGGGCTGGGATTCTCAAACTGAGCCATGTAAGGCCCTGCCTGGCTGGGACTGCAAGAGGAGAGTGCCCTTCACAACGTCACCTGCATGGGGCCTTGAGGAACAGGACATGGAAGCCCACCAGCACCCTGGGCCATCTCCAGCTAAGCACCAATCAGCGCCCAGGCAGAACTCTTAGTGGCAAGAAGACCGGACACACTCCCACCAATTAGAGAGGCCAGCACCAGAGTGACGCTGACCAGGATCAACTGCAGGCCTTGTGCTGCAGGGCACCAACTGGGAGGTGCGTGTCATGGACAAGACACGCATTTACAGGTATTACTGTGGAGTAACAGTTTCCTTTGAGCCATCAGACGCTACGTGCTGCGGGAGAGGGGATGCTGGGCTCAGCCACATCTCTGGCCAGTCCAATCCAATCCCGTTGGGCAATCCCAGGTTACTGGGGCATTGTTACTGGAGCAGGACAAACTCAGCCACTCAACAACTCTCATTCACCTTTTGTGCTGAGCTAATAAAACTTTTGAAAAGGCACTGGGGTCCCTGTGCCGCAGCCTCTGCTGTGACTGGAGTCACACTCATTGCAGCGGGGAGTCAGCTCAGCGCAGGGTGGGGCAGGGAGCTTCTCCTCCCCACCGAGTGATTGACAGCAATCAAAGCGAGAAGGCTGCCCTTCCCCACAGCCTGCTCCAGTCACTGGAACGCAGCCCCCTTCCTGAGCAGTACTTCGAAGACAGGCAGCTGATCCAAGTTCCAGGCGCGGATCCTCTCCTCGTTCACATCCACCACCGTGATGGTTATTTCTGGGCACATCTGAGCAATGACACTGCACATGGGGCCCAGGACGTAGCCCACACCAGTGCAGCAAGTCTGCTATACCTGCACTATCATCACAGCAGGGCCAACGCACCCAGGGACAGTCCAGACTGCAGGGAGCCTCACACAGAGCACACAGCTTCACCTACAAGAGAAACCTCATCTGCATCCACCAGCTCCCTGCCAGCCAGTCCATCCTCCCTGCCCCACCCTGCCAGCTAGAAACCAGCCTATGTGGAAACTGAACAGAGAACTGGGAGGGGGAGGCAGGGAGCATTTCTAAGAGTCCTTGTACACAACAAAAAGCCTTCTGTTAAACAGGGCTGGGGCCAAAGCAGGTTCCAACAGGTTTCCTGGTGTGTGAGGTTAGGAGGCCATGTGTTATAACCACATCTGGAACCAGCTTTAGCCTAGGAATCTATCGGGGTTGAAATAGATCATCACATACAAGAAGGAAAAAACAGATTATGTTCTAACATGGTTTGAACCTATTTCTGTGACCAGGGAGGCCCAGATTACAGCTGAGTCAGAGTGCCTGGTTACAACACTCTCCAGTACAATCTAAGGGTGGGGGTGAAGCATCAGAGATGGGCCACAGCTAGAGGTGGTCTACGAGCTGGGGTGGTACAGAGAATCAGTCTTAGTTGCCTGGCTAGTGAGTCTTGCTCACATGCTCAGGTCTGACTGACTGCTAGATCTGGAGTGAGAAAGGAATTCCCCATGTCAGATTGTCTGGTGCCTTGGGGGGGTTTAATCTTCCTCTGCAGCATGGATCCCCAGATCATCTGGCCATACTTTCGCCTGATCGATTCCCTGCCGTTACAGGGGCCTCAGGGACAGGTGACATCTCGATCTGTCCTGTTCTCTGCCTGTGGCACACAACAGTTGAGTCTCTTGAGGGCTAAATTACTTTAATTAATTAAAATGTTTAGTTAAACATTTGGGTGAAATGTCATGGCCTGCGATGTACTGATCAGACTAGCTGAGCTAATTGTTCCTTCTGGCCTTAAACTGTGAATCAATGAGTACGTCCAAGGCATTCGCCCATGTAGGGAAACAAAGCTGAGGTCCTACATACCCTACACACTGGAGCCATGTTAGAACTAGATTCCCAGCTCCATCATAACTGAACGCACAAGGACTTACTGAGTTTTAACAGGTTGGCACATGTTTGACTTCATATATGGCTCATGTCCACATCAACATGGCTAACTCACAGCTCCTAACTGCATGGGTGTTATTGTGTTTATACCCTGTGCACAAGAAGGCCTGTGGCATCTGCCTGTGTATCCATGTAAACAGATAAGCCAGTCCTCCTTTCTCCCAGGTTGTGCACTGCACCCTGAGAAATGGCTGCTCTGGAACCAGCTGCTCTGTGGAGTTACAGCCACCTTTCCCCAGCATGCACTGATACAAACACGCCCATGCTGCATGGACAAGCCAGCACAGTTGCCATTCCTGCCGGGAAACATACTGCTGTGTGTGTGTCCCAACAGGGTGAGCTGTAACCAGGCCAAGTGACTCAGAGCCGGGTTACACAGAACGTGGTTCTCTCTGCTGCCTAGGCACAGCCAGAGCCTGCTCATGTTCTGAGTCCAGCTAGCAGGGCTCCAGGCTCGTCTCCCTCCCCATTGGTGGAATGGATTGTTTTCGGAGAACTGCGTTAGTCAAGCTGTGTTAAAGTAGAGGTGGGCAATTTTTTTTGGACAAATAGTTTATTAGCCAAAAAAAAAATGCAGTTTCTGTCAAGCCAAAACTATTAAGAACATAAGAACGGCCATACTGGGTCAGACCAAAGGTCCATCTAGCCCAATATCCTGTTTTCAGGCAGTGGACAATGGCCAGGTGCCCCAGAGGGAATGAACAGAACAGGTATCAAGTGATCCATCCCCTGTCACCTACTCCCAGCTTCTGGCAAACAGAGGCTAGGGACACCATGCCTGCCCCTCCTGGCTAATAGTTATCGATGGACCTATCCTCCTCCATGAACTTATCTAGTTATTTTTTTAACCGTCTTATACTCACAGATTTGACATGAATTTGCCAGATAGTTTTAGCCTGTAAATTTTTTGTTGGCCTGATTCACCAGGGGATTTAGGTGCCGTTCACACCATAGAAGGGGATGGTGGAGCTGGTACCCTTACCCACACCATATAATCTCTAGCCCAGAGGCTAGCATGCTCCCCTGTAATGTGGGAGACCCAGGTTCAACTCCGTGCCCTGGACTGAGGCTATTTGTTTGTGGATCTCTCCCAATCTCTCCTTTGAAGCTATTCCACTTTGGGTAAAATGCCTGAATACTCATTAGAGCAGCATACAAATGTGAGAATGACTCTACAGCCCAATGGCTAGAGCACTCACTTGGGAGACTGAGGTTCCAGACCCCAGCCCTCTACTCCGAAGAATAATCAATCACCTACACAAAGTGGAACAGCTTCTGCAAGAGAGACTGAGAGCACCTCACGCCAATAGCCTGGGGTTAGGGCAGGCACTGCGAAGGAAGGAGACCTGTGTTCAGACCCAGGTCTGAATCCTTGCTCTGGGCCAGGGGTCTCCCAAATCCCAGCTGAGTGCCTATCTGGTGGGCTGACATGTTTAAGGGTGGCAGGGACAGCAGTGCCTCCTCCGCTGGTTATTTTGTGACTCTAGCCCTTTACAAATACAAAAAAAAACCCAAAACCCACACTATTTTGTTCACCCTGAACCGGACTTTTTCAAATTACCAACAATTTTACTAGGGCTGGCAAGGGCAGGCAGGCTGGGAAGCTGGCAGTCTAACGGTAGCTCGGTGTCAGAGGGGGAGGAGGAAAAGGAAGCAGAGGAGGGAAGGCAGGCAGGGGTGGGCCAGTACATCCTTCCTATAACCTCAACTGCATGAAGTCCCTCTTGTATCCCAGACAATGGCACGTTCTCTTCCACGCCTCCCCAGTGACTACACATAGTGAAGAGCTTGGCAAGGATCCATCCGTTCCCCAAATCCCTGGTGCTCAGCTCCCAGGTCCTGCACAAATGCCATATAAAGGGATATACTCCAGCACCAGCCCAAATTAGTCCTGTGCCACTTTCTGCCCATTTAAAAAGCAACACAGGTAAAAAGAAACTCCCTGAACTCAGGGTCTGGCTCACTGCTGCCTGAATTGCTCCCTTCCAGGCCACTTAGAAGGGCAGGGCTGTCTCTAGAGGGGCACAGGTTAGCCAGCTCCAGCCCCTCCACAAGAGGCTCTCATTCCTGGTGGTGAGAAGCCAGGAGGCCTCATTTCCTGTCTTGATAGGGGAACCTGGTGCCACAAGGCTGCCTCAGACATCTCAAGACCAGCAGAGAGCTGCCTTCACCACAGCAACAGCACTAGCTTGCCTGTAGCTGCTCTCTTCTTAGGGCAAGAGACCTAACCTCACAGGCTTCCAGCTCTCCCCTTCACACCTCCCCAGCCAAAGGCAGAAACCGCTCTTCTTAGGGCTAAATGGGCCCCATAGTTGCCCTCGACTTTTGTACAGATGGGGCAGCCCCAGAGCATAAGGCTGCCGCTTCTTGGGTTTCCAGAAGCACACAGGGGCATAGGCAACCCCTGACCCGCTCACACAGATCAGATGCACATGTGGAAAAATCTCAGCTCCTGTCTCCAGGGCCACTCTAGGTCCCTGATCTGGGCTCTAGGGCAACCCCCCACCAAGCTGCTCTTCGGTAACACAGACAGCCTGGCACTAGCCAAAGGGGTGCTGGGAAAACCATTATCCTGAATAGAGGCCTGCAGTGGCTCTACATGCAGGAATGGAAGCTGACACTGAATTGGGGTGCAACAGCCAGACACCTGGGCCCACCACACTCCTCCTTCCCTGGGGCTTCTCTGCATGTCCCCTGCCCCTGGTGACAACCAGCCCCATAGGCTGTCAACCTGAGTAAGGAATGTCAGGCCAGCCCCCTCAGTCAGGAGAGCCAAGATAATTTCTGCTGTGTCTTTTGGTCGCTCCCTCAGCTTGTACGTCAAATCTGAATCTTAGAGGCCAGAGATGAAAGGCCTTGTAACTTACTGGGCCACATCCCTGTCCCCACGCCTTCCGACTGCACTACAAAACTCCTGCTCCCGATCTCTGCCAATCCACTTCCCCATTTAAGTAGACACATGCAGAAAGCAGCGTGCACTCTCCCAGTCAGCAAATGCCATAGCAGTAGCAGTGTGATGGTCAGTCACACACACTCTCACTGTTACAACATACTGGCAGTACTGATCTAATAGCAAACTCTGCTGGATTATCACATGCACCCCAACCCCGTCACATAAAGTGATCCCGGCCAGCTTGGGACACAGGCTTCCTGGTGGTTTATTCACATACAAATTCACAATGGGAATCAGTTACTCTCCTGAGACAGGCAGCACTGGGGCCCTGCACTGTAGCTTGTCCAAGTTTCTTGTCTACATGAATCTTCCCAGCTTGGAGAGAAGCTGGTGCAACTGGCTGTTGTTTTTCCTTGAAGACACCTTTAAAGGGAGGAGAAGTTGTGAGGGTGGCTGGGGAGAGCCTGGCCTGTCAGAAATACAGCTGGCAACAGTGCCCATATTGCCCAGACCAGCAAAGGGGCTCTGAGCTCAGTAGTTTGTAGCAAACTTCAAGAGGCCAGGGAGGGGGTTGGTGTGAAACATGGCTGGCAGCTGGGGGGATTCTTCTTCCCATTCCCCTCCCTGTCCCACATCTCATTACTACAGGTGCCTAAGCAGCAGTTCTGAGAAAGTGGCTTTCGGCATCTTGGGTGACACAGGAGCAACGGGGAACCCTCTGCTGTGTAATCCCAGAGGCAGCACTCAGAGCTCAGGCACCTGCTTCAGACAAGCACAGCCAGATGCTCTAGGGCCCTGGCTCAGTGCTCCATGCAGAGGAGACTGGAATTCACATTGTTCCCTGCATTTCCCATGCTCCAGAGGCTGCAGGGATTCTTTGGTACACAAAGGAGTTTGGAGAGAGCTCCTGGAGCACACACTACCACATTCACCTCTAGGCTCCTGCCAACCAGCAGGGCTGGGGGAAGGAATTCAGGACTCAGCCCTGGTCCCATAAAGCAGCTGGTGCTTATGAGAGCTCACAAGGGAAGGGCTGGGGCAGAGGGTGGAGAGGGGTCTGAGGTAGGTTTTTTCCTCTTAGAGAGAAAACTGGAGACACTCCTTTCCCATCAGGAGAGTTGCTTCTTTCCAAACAAAGCCTGGTCATCCCAGCTGGCAGGAGGTTCCAGCCCCTCTCCCAATAAGACCTCTATCGGCCTTTAATGAGGAATGCAGAGAGGGATGTTGCGCCTTGTCAACTCAGCTGCACCAAGGGCCCTGCTAGCACTCTGGCCTGCAGGAACACTCCCAGATGAGCCAGTCCTCTATGGGGAAATAAGCTTGGCCTCCAGCTGCTTCCACAACACAGTGAGGATGCATCCTTCCCATGGCTGCAGAATCTGCTGGCTTCATAGTCCATGTCCCTACGGAGCTTTCTGGCCATGGAATCTCCCAGAGGCCACTGGGCTTCCATCAGTTACTGTCAACGCTGTCACTCTCCTCCTCCTGCTCCTCCTTTGGGGCCTCTGCCTCCTCTCTCATGTCGGCAAAGAAGTCCTCTCTGCCGCCCAAGGCTTTGCAGCTCAGGGCCTTCAGCTGCCCACTCTTCTTTCTCTTCCGGTAATCATCCACCACCATGGAGCGGAGTGATGAGATGTCCCAGAACTTCACCTTCTGGTCATGGCCACTGCTGGCCAGCAGCTGACCAGTGTGGGACTTGGCCAGCTGTTCAATGGGCTCCCCCAGGTGCTGCCCAACGCTGCCTATCACCCGATTAGGTAAGATATTCACCGCCCTGGGACAAGAACAGAAGCTTGATTAATGGAGGGCCAGCTGTGCAGTAACTATGCGTGGTACTCCAGCCAACCCACCCACCAAAAGGAGGTGTTCTGGGGCACTAAGATTAGAAGACTATATAATATAGGGCCAACTGTCCAGTAAACTTGTATGCTACCCCATCACTACCTACCAGATGGGGGTCCTCTGGGATGCTGAGAGCTTAGAAGAGGGAAAATGCCAACTGGTTTAAAACCCCAAATTCAGGGCTTAGTAAGCAAGCTCAGAAGATTCATCTCCAAGGAGATGGATCCTCACTTCACTGTCAGGAATTAATATAATGAATCCAAATCCAGCAGCAACAGGTGGGGAGAGCTGAATGCCAGAACCCATGAAGGGAAATGCACTGAGAACAGGAGCACCCAGAATGAAACACACAGTGGGAACAGCCCTGAACACACAGCAAGGCCAGCCTGGGGTTTTGATTTCTTCCAGTTTAACTGCCTCCATGGCGTTAGCAGCACAGCTCCCAAGAGTTCCCACCAACAGCCCTTTCATGGAGGCACCCAGAAGGATCCAACCCAATAGGCTGTCTGAAGTCCATCCCCCAGCATCAGGGCAGGAGCTTCCCTTGCAGTACCTCTGCCAGGGCTTTGCCCTGTCCGCTTGTAATGTGCCCTACTGATGGGGCTCCCACCTCTTCTCTTGGTAGATTATTCCACGACTGCATTTGCCTTTGGCAAATATCTCCTGATATTTTGCCTACCTCAATTCTACCCCAGTACTCCTACCCCCTTCTCCCCCCCCCCCACTCTCCCTGCTATTCACACCCTGTAGATCCTCCAAGCAGAAGTTCATCCCGTCCTCCTAGCCCCGCTAGCAGAAACAAGGCAAGCAGCCCCCTTTTCCCAGCCTCCCTGCCAGGAGCCAGCACTGGGCTCTCTCACCTGATGACTCCATCGATGGAACCCGTGCACAGGACATTCTCCGTGACAGGGACCATGCAGTCGATGGACTCGGCCTTCACTGCAAAGCGGTCGCTCGTGGCACCAAAACCGTCCCAGTTGAAGAGATAAATGGTCCCCTCGCTAGAGCCACACACCACTTTCTTCCCCCTCTGGACAAGAGGTGAATGAGGCGGAGCTGAAAAAGCAGTAGCTCAGGACAGGACCCTCCCCTCCCCACATGGGCTCTCTAGCAGGAAGTGCTCAGTCAGGGGCCGATAGCACAGGGAGCAAGGGACAGAATGGGCTCCTTTCCTCTTAGTCAAGGGAGTCCACATGTTTAACTCAGCAGGGTCCTTCGAGCTCATAGCTGAACATTAAAGGGAACTGGGGCGCCCACCGCTGCCCATGTCTGGGACAGCTCAGTGCTGAGGCAAGGAAGCCTGGCTCCATATTGCTACTCCCACATGAAGGACAGTCACAGGTGGCCTGTGAGCTCCTACCTTCATCAGCGCGATGGACGTCAGGTCTCCACTCTGAGGCTCTGAGAGCAGCTCAAAGCGCCGTCTCTTGATGTTGAAGACACCCATGGTTCCATCACCACTGTGGGAACCAAAGTGGTACATTGCACTCACTTAAACATGGGATTCCTCACTTCCTGTCCTGGCAAGTGTTACCTGTACACCTCCCAGAGGTGGCTGCATACTTCAGAGAGAGGGTATAAGTGATCCCCCATTTGGGATCATCCAGGATGAGAAGCACAACAAACTCCAGTGATTACAGAGAGTCTGGGTCAGACAGAGGGTCTGGAGCCATGGGGATAACAGCACTTACCCCCTCCTTCGAGGGTGGAGACAACCGTGCCATCTGCATTAGATAAGCAGAACCAACGAGGTGCGAAAAAACCTGCTCTCCCCCTAGGGGAGCTGCTCTCAGACCCCCTGGAGCAGGCTTTGCTGCCTGATTTGCCCACAGGCACCTGCGCCGCACGTGGCTGAGGAGCCCAACATCACCTGGTGGTGAGCAGGAGCTTCTTGTTCTCGTCTATGGCCATGCTGCTGATGTACTCCTCATGCTGCCGCATCTCCATGATGTCTGTGCCTTTGCGGAGGTCCCACACCTTCAGCATCCCACCATCATCCCCCGTGGCAAAGAGGTGGTCATCTATCACCAGCAGACTGTTCAGGGCCGAGCTGTGGAGACCCCCACCCCAGTCACCAGCAGCATCGGGGACTGTGAGAATCTTTCTAGCTGAGGCAGCCCTGTGAGATGCTCCCTGCTGTGGCAAGGACTGGAGACACCTCAGAGAGCCATCTGCCATTCAAAGGCCCTGTTAGGGAGGTCTGACTAGATGGCGGCTCTAGCCACAGTACCGAGCACAGGTGGAATCTGGGGGAGTGGGGAGTTTGGCACCCCCAGCACGCTGGGTGCTCCTAGGGTGAGGGAACATGGAAGGAGCCCATCTTCAGGCAGTGGAGAGCTCCCTGAAAGTTCTCGACCCTCTCACGGGGGCCATCTGGAGAGGGCAGCGCCTCCCATCAGTGTGTGTGGGGGAGGAAGGAATCGGCTCCCTCCAAAGCTAGTTCCTGCAGCCCGACTCAGCCAGAGGGGTGCTAGAGGGTGACTGGTGGCCATCTGGACGCAGCAGGCAGCCACTACAGTTCCGGCCCCATGGCTGGCTCCAGGGCTTTGGTCATTTGGCCTGCTCTTTGCCCCAGCGTCCCACCTGAGTCTTTGATAGCCCCACCATGCAGGGCAGTCTTAGGGCAGATTTCCCTGCTCCCCATCCCACACATGGCCCAGCCAGCACCGAGCAGCACTCAGCGTCAGGGATGGACACGATGGGCAAGAGAGAGTGCATGGGAGACCAGCTCCCTGCCAAGGGGAGCAGCCAGCTTTAGTGGAAACATGAGCCAAAGAACACTCAGGGAGGAACCACTCTCCTGCTCCAGGGACCTTGGGCAGCCAGTTCCCAAGATGCCCTTGCTGGGCAGGGCAGGGCTGGAGGGTTGCGTGGGACTGGGAATTCCCTATAGACACATACCTGTGAGCCTTGGAGAAGCGTGTCACCAGCCGGCCCTCCTCCACGTTCAGGATGTGGATGGATTTATCCTTGGACACAGTGAAGAGCTCTGGCAACAAGACACACAGTATACATTCGGCACCCCCAGCCCATTCAGCAATCGGAGCAGCAGGAGTGACACCGAGTTACTCAACTCCAGTGCCCATGTCCTGTGCTTATCCCTCACCAGCAACATTCCTGCAGGATTACTGTTACTCCTGGGCTCTGTGATCACGAAGCCAGCCAGGATCCAGCGTAGCGCAGTGTGCTAGGGAGCAGAAACACTGCAGCAGAATGGGACTTCTGAGCTACAGGGAGGAATCCCTTGGCAGTCTGGTGAGGGAGGAGAAAGCGCAGCATGGGAGAGTCTCAGCCTGGGAGCCCTGCCCCCGCCACACCTCTCAGATTTCTAGTCTCCACAGTACTGACTGAATGAATGGCTCTGAACAGTCACTGTGCAACAGTCAAGCAGCCCCAGCCCTGCCTCTCTACACTCCCCCTGTGCTCCCCAGGCTCTCTGGATCCCTCACTCCCAGGCACAGCTGATTGCAGGGGGATCTTATCCGCAGGCTGGGAGCTCAGCACATTTCCTGAGCCAACCACAGCTCGGCCTGCTCAGCAATTGGCTGAGAGACTTCTAAACAAAACCCAGCAAACTCCTCAAACTGTTGCATGGCTGTGACCCAGAGAGGCTCAGCAGCCCCCCTTCCAGGGTGCAAGGAGAAGGCCTGCCCCCCAGAAAACAGAAAGGCATCCTCCTTGCTAGCTTGACCTCCACCCAGTGAGTTTGCACAGGTCACTACAATAGTGCGAGAAAGCCGAGGGGAGGTGCACTCACTGTGTCCATCGTGGGAAAAGGACACTTCCCGGCAGGATTTCAGGTGATGTCCTGAAGACCAGAGCTCCCGGTTCCCACCCTCCAGGCAAGAGTACGAATACCTGAAACAAAAGCATGTGTGTTAAGGGGACACCAGTGAGAAGCTGCTCCCTGTCTTGCCTTTCCAGCTGAGGAGCACAGCTTTTGGGCATGGAAGGAGCATTCAGATCCAAAGTTAGGGGCTCCTGGTACAGGAATGAGGAGGTGTGTGTCCAGAGGGGGCTTTCATGGTGCAGGACTGAAGAAAGGAGGGATGTGCCATGTCCAGATTGCTGGGGCATTGCCAGCCCCCAGGGCTGGAAGAGAAACAGGAGTCAGGTTTGAGGAGCTGGATTCACATGGAACAAAAAATATCCCGGTGGAGCAGGAGCCCCAGCTGTGTGATGGGAAAGGAACAGATAGCATCTCAGCATCAAGGTTCAGCTCCCACAAAAGGAGACCCCTGCTTCCCAGCGCTCACTATCAGGAACTGGGGACTCCCCACAGTTAGTAGGAGACCAATCTTCAAACCAATGGGATTGTGAGGGACTGAACATGCCGGGCGGGTTCCCTAGAAATCTAATCTAATGCCTTCCAAGGCGGGTCACTAGAGAGGCACCATTGCAGCGGGGAGAAATGGCAGGTGCAGTGAGAGGCAGAGACCTTGCGCTATACCTGTGTGAGTGCAATACAGATTTGTGGCAGCCAAATGGAGAAATGCCAGCCAAGAACCTGTTCCCAGGCTAAGCCCTTGGCGGAGGAAGGATGATGTGTCCCCAGCTACAGCATCCCAAATGCAATGCTCCAATACTGGAAGCAGCTTTGCCCAGCCTCAGTCTTCCTCTGCAGAGATAAGTGGGTTCTTCAAGCCAGATTAGACTTGGAGCATGGAAAAAAACACCTGTGAACACACATCTCTCTCCACTGGAAGCCTCTTCCCAAACCCACGGCTTCTCCTGGCACCATCACCTCCAGCAGCTGAGCCTGGCTCCTATCGACAGTGGTGGGGTAGAGCTGGATGGGCCATGGGGTCACGGACCCCTACCCACAGTTTTTACCCCATAGGGGCCCTTCTCTCTCCATCTCCTGGGCAGTGCTGACCCCTGGGGGTTTCCTTGCAACTCCCTGGTTGTACTGCCTGTTGCTAGGGCCTGTTGCTGATTATCTACACAGTGCTCTTCTCTCCGATAGATCCAACTCACACATAGACATCGCCGTCCACATCGCCAGCTGCAAGGATGTCCTGGCTGGGGTGGAAGGCAATGGTGTTGGCAGCAGCTTCAAAGGAGATGTCCTCTGGGGTGTCTCGGAGCCTGGGCTCCAGCTCCTCCTGCTCTAGATCTGCCTTTGTGGGGTAGAGAGACATGAGCTAGACTGGGGGGGGGTAGGGGACGGGACGGGACTATGGCCTGCGGGCTGGATCCAGCCCCTCAGGGCTTTGGATCTGGCCCATGGGCTTGCCACCCCCATGGTGCTGCGGGCCCCACTCCGCTCCAGGAAGCGGCCAGCACCACGTCCCTGTGGCCCCTGGGGGATGGAGGGCTCCGTGCACTGCCCTCGCCTGTGGGTACCTCCCCTGAAGCTCCCATTGGCTGGGAACAGGGAACTGCGGCCCATGAGAGCTTTGGGGGAGGTACCCACAGGCAAGGGCAGCGCACTCAGCCCTCTGCCCCCCCTTCCCCCACCCAGGGGCCACAGGGACGTGGTGCCAGCCGCTTCCTGGAACAGAGGCGTGGGGCCAGGGACAGGGCAGGCTCCCTCCCTCCGTGCCTGCCTGCCCTGGCCCCGGTGCGCGCTGTTGCCACCCCAGAGCCACTCCAGGTAAGCGGCACCGGGCTGGAACCCAGACCCCGATCCCCTCATGCACCCCAACTCCCTGCCCTGAGCCTCGCTGCAACCCAACTCCCTGTCCCGAGACCCCTGCCTATACCCCAACCCCCTGCCACACCCAACACCCCTCCTGCATCCCAACCCCCTGCCCTGAGCCCCTTCCTGCACCCCGCACTCCCTCCCACACACCAACCCCCTGCCCCAGCCCTACATTCATAGCCCTGCATGCAATTTCCCCACTCAGATGTGGCCCTCGGGCCAAAAAGTTTGCCCACCCCTGAGCTAGATGGTCAGCCAAGGAGCCACCGGGGCGCTCAATTCCACTCTCCCCTATACGCACACAGGGGCTGCTAGCAGGGCCTACAATCCTACACTACTGAACCCTCCCCACATACAAGGGGACACCAGCAGAGCTCCCCACTGCCCATCCAACATGCACCCAAAAGGGGGAGCCCACCTGCATATGCCCTGCATCTTCCTCCTCCTGCACGGCTGCCTCCAGCTCCTGAGACGTTCCCTAGGTGGAAGGAGAAAGAGACCATCAGATTTAAGTGGGGGAAGGTGCATCCTGGGGAGCAGGTTGCCAGAGCTGCCTCCAATCAGCTACAACCAAGGGAACACATTCAAGGCAAATGGACCCACTCCAGCCCCAGCAAGAAATGTTCCCTGGGGCCAGGACTCAGGAGATACTACTTGACAGATATGACTATTTCCTTCTATAGCCTGGAAAAATCCCATTGAATTAAGTATCTTTCGAGTCCACTGTATCAAACATAAAGGTTACGTGTTATCAAGGATCGTATGTGCTCGCTGGGGGGAGATGGGGTGTGAGTTAGGAACTTCAAATTACTATACTGAATAATAAGCCCAGAATGAGCTTTTGGACACTGAGTCAAGTGGGGGAATCTCCAGGGGAGGAAAATGCAAATTATGCAAAAGCCCTCTGGAGCTATATCCTGAGAAGAGGATGATTGTCTACTGCTTATCTGTTTCCAGAATCTGAAGATCAAAGGCCCAGGCTGTACAAAGGAAAGACTAACCTATTCACGGATGTACTTGTTCTGAGCTGAAGCTGTTATGAATAAGACCCTACCAAATTCACAGCCATGAAAAAAACACATCAGGGACCGTGAAATCGGGTCTCCCCCTGTGATATCTGGTCTTTTGTGTGCTTTTACCCTATACTGTACATATTTCATGGGGGAGACCCGCGTTTATCAACTTGGGGGGGTTATCAAAAAGGGAATTGCAGGGGGGTTGCAAGGTTATTTTAGGGGGATCGTGATATTGCCACCCTTACTTCTGTGCTGCCTTCAGAACTGGGCAGCCAGAGGCTAGTAGCTGTTGGCTGGGCACCCAGCTCTGAAGGAAGCACCCTGCCAGTGGCAGCGCAGAAGTAAGGGTGGCAATGCCAGACCATGCTCCACCCTTACTTCTGCACTGCTGCCTGCAGAGCTGGTTGGCTGGAGAGTGGCGGCTGCTGACTGAGGGCCCAGCTTTGCAGACAGCAGCGCAGAAGTAAGGGTGGCAATACCATACCATGCCATTCTTACTTCTGTGCTGCTGCTGACGGCGGCTCTGCCTTCAGAGCTGGGCTCCTGGCCAGCAGCCACCGCTCTCCAAATCTGAAGGCAGCGCTGTCACCAGCAGCAGCGCAGAAGTGAGGGTAGAAGTACCACAACCCCCCACACAATAACCTTGCGACTCCTCACGGCTCCTTTTTGGGTCAGGACCCCTACAATTACAACACCATGAAATTTCAGGTTTAAATAGTAAATTTCATGATTTCAGCTATTTTTAAAATCCCTTGACTGTGAAATTGACCAAAATGGACCATGAATTTGGTAGGGCCCTAGTTATGAACTTGTAGCCACAGAAAAATCCCTTTGTGGGCTTTGAAGGACTGACTTCACCAGAGCCCTTGTTGGAGTGAGAGGGTGATCTCTAGAAAGCTTATTAGCATGCTTTGTTTTAATGTTTTCTCTGTAATGCTTTCACCTTCAGAATAAATGTGCTTGCTTAGAAAGAGTTGTGGGGTAACTTGTAACTGTGCACAATTACACTGTTTAAAGCCTCTGAAGAGAGAGAGCAAAGTGCAGCCACTGGCCTGTCCAGGCTGCCTGGCTTGCTGGGGATAACACAGTGTAGGTAAGTATCAGAGGGGTAGCCATGTTAGTCTGGATCTGTAAAAGCGGCAAAGAGTCCTGTGGCACCTCATAGACTAACAGACGTATTGGAGCATAAGCTTTTGTGGATTCACCCACAAAAGCTTATGCTCCAATACGTCGGTTAGTCTATGAGGTGCCACAGGACTCTTTGCCGCTTTTACAGTGTAGGTAGGGAACTGTGCAGCCAAGAAAAACCCCAGTCAGGAGGGAGAGAGACCCATGCCTCCACCCAGCAGAGGGGGAATACAAGTGCAGTTGCCCTGAACTATAACAGCTGCTCCCCTCACAGCATGTCAAAGGGAAGACAAAATGTCCCTGAGTCCTCCATGGGGCACAAAGAGAAGGGCAGGACTACTGGGCTCCATTGAGGAACAAGAGTTGCTGCTAAGGACCCGCAAGGGATGGGAAAGGAACACCTACTGTTTAAAAAAATGGAATCAGTTAACATAGCCCTTCTCCTGCAGTGTGGACGGAGCCTTAGGCCTGGTCTACACACAGAAATTGGACTGGTTTAACTAAATCTGTGTAAAAACCAGTTTAGTTAAATGAGTGAAAGTCCCTGTAAATCAATACATGTGTGTCCGTAAAGGAGTTTGCTGTGGTGTAACTGAATCAGTTTAAAAACACATCTTTGGTTAGACCAGTGCAAGTTCGTGTGTAGCCACTGTTGAAGAGGTGAATGTACTGAATCAAAGAGTGCAGACAGACAACGCCAGCAAAGCCAGATATGATGCAAGCAGGTCAGGGCCCCAGGTATAAGGGGGACAAACTAATTGCTGTAGAATCATGCTCAGGAATCTCGGCACTCCTTTTAGAAACAACACAAACACCTACTACAGGACAGGCCCAACAAAGAAAATAACAGAATGCCACTAGCTATCACCTTCAGCCCCCAACTAAAACCTCTCCAACACATCATCAGGGATCTACAACCTATCCTGAAGGACGACCCATCACTCTCACAGATCTTGGGAGACAGGCCAGTCCTTGCTTACAGACAGCCCCCCATCCTGAAGCAAATACTCACCAGCAACCACACACCACACAACAGAACCACTAACCCAGGAACCAATCCTTGCAACAAAGCCCGTTGCCAACTGTGTCCACATATCTATTCAGGGGACACCATCATAGGGCCTAATCACATCAGCATCATAGGGCCTAAGCACATCAGTCACACTATCAGAGGCTCGTTCACCTGCACATCTACCAATGTGATATATGCCATCATGTGCCAGCAATGCCCCTCTGCCATATACATTGGTCAAACTGGACAGTCTCTACGTAAAAGAATAAATGGACACAAATCAGACGTCAAGAATTATAACATTCAAAAATCAGTCAGAGAACACTTCAATCTCTTTGGTCACTCGATTACAAACCTAGAAGTTGCAATTCTTCAACAAAAAAACTTAAAAAACAGACTCCAACGAGAGACTGCTGAATTGGAATTAATTTGCAAACTGGATACAATTAATTTAGGCTTGAATAAAGACTGGGATTGGATGGGTCATTACACAAAGTAAAACTATTTCCCCATGTTTATTCTCCCTTGTTCCTCAGACGTTCTTGTCAACTGCTGGAAATGGTCCACCTTGATTATCACTACAAAAGGTGTCTCCCCCCCCCTCCCCCCCAGCTCTCCTGCTGGTAATAGCTCACCTTAAGTGATCACGCTCATTACAGTTTTCAGAGTAGCAGCCGTGTTAGTCTGTAACCGCAAAAAGAAAAGGAGGACTTGTGGCACCTTAGAGACTAACAAATTTATTTGAGCATAAGCTTTTGTGAGCTACAGCTCACTTCATCGGATGCATTTGTTACAGTGTGTATGGCAACACCCATTATTTCATGTTCTCTATGTATATAAATCTCCCTACTGTATTTTCCATTGAATGCATCCGATGAAGTGAGCTGTAGCTCACGAAAGCTTATACTCAAATAAATTTGTTAGTCTCTAAGGTGCCACAAGTGCTCCTTTTCTTTTAACACAAACAAGCTATCAAGCCTTAGCACTGATGCCTGTGAAAAAAACCTTTCAAGTGAACCCAAACATTAACACATAGGCAGATCCACCCAGGCCTATAGGCAGCCAGTAACAAGAGTTCTCAGGTATGAACTGGCCCATTCATCTCAATGAGACATTAACTCTGGAGGCTAATGATATTTAAAATACAAACTCTAGTAGCTACTACATAAGAATTACCATACTGGGTCAGACCGAAGAGCCCAGCTAGCCCAGTATCCCGTCTTCCCACAGTGGCCAATGCCAGGTGCTTCAGAGGGAATGAACTGAACAGGTAATCATCAAGTGATCCATCCCGTCGCCCATTCCCAGCTTCTGGCAAACAACCTGCTAATAGCCATTGACAGACCTATCCTCTATGAATTTATCTAATTCTTTTTTGAACCCTGTTATAATCTTGGTCTTCACAACACCCTCTGGCAAGGAGTTCCACAGGTTGACTGTGCGTTGTGTGAAGAAATACTTCCTATTGTTTGTTTTAAACCTGTTGCCTATTAATTTCATTGGATGACCCCTAGTTCTTGTGTTATGAGAAGGAGTAAATAACACTTCCTTATTTATTTTCTCCGCACCTGTCATGATTTTATGGACCTCTATCAGATCCCCCACTTCGTCATCTCTTTTCCAAACTGACAAGTCCCAGTTTTTTAATCTCTCCTCAGTTGGAAGCTGCTCCATGCCCCTCATCATTTTAACTCCTCTGCTGAGCGCGTGGGTAGGAACATCGGGCTAAACCGCTTGCCCCTGAGTGCAGGAACAGGCCTGTCCTGGGGCCGGGAGCCGATGGCCGGGTTTGCTGAACCGGGAAATGCGGGATTCAAACCTCCCTTCCCCGCGCCAAAGGAGGGAAAGAAAAGTTTCCTCCCGTTACCCGGCGCCAGAAGCCTCGAGCCGCCTCCCGGGCGCCGCAGCCTCCTGCCCCCCGGGCCCCGCCAGCAGCTTCCCTCTCTCAGGCGGCTGCAGCCCCGGGGGTCGATCCGCAGCCCCGCGCACGCGGGGGCAGCCCAAGAAACCCGCGGCCGGACCGGGACACGTAGGCCGCTGACTGGCCGCGGGGAGAACAGGGTCCCGCGAGGGGGGCGGGGTCGGGGCAGCGGGGTCGGGGCGCATTCCCCCCCCCGCAAAAAACCGCCACCAGCTCGGGTCGTGAGGGAGTGGCCGGCTCGCTCTGATCGAGGAATCGGCTCGCGCTCACCTCTCTGGGCGCCACCATCTCGCCACGGAACGGTCCTGGCAGGGAAGGAGTGGATGCGTTCCAGTCAGGCGCTTGAGCTAGGCGCCGGGTTAGCCTTTCCTCTTCCAGGACCCGTCTCGGGGAGGGTAATTTAAAGGGTTTATGACGTTTATCTTCTCGCTTGTCGTTTGCATGGTCAAGCCCAGCTGAGAACTCTTAGGCTCTGCAGACGGAACAGGGTACGCGGTTGGCATTAGCTCAGCGGTTACTTCTAAACTTAAAAGTTTTGAAACACCAGCCCCTCAGGGGGTTCGAGACCCGCGGGCGGTGTTTGGACTTTTGCCCCTCCCCGAGCCGACTTTACCCCTGTGCACGCGGAACATTGCCCCGCCGGGCCGGGACTCAGTGCTAATTGCTCGAGCCTTGAGCGCTCGAACAGGCGCTGCTCCCATTGCTCCCGCCACGCTCGGTTTGGGGAAGGGGGCCTTCAGCGCCATTGTCGGGGGAGGGATGGTTCCAGTTTTGGGGAACACGGGGGTGCGCTGTAGACTGCGGAGGTGGGAGGAGTCCAGCTACGAGAAGGAGCAGCGCCGTAGCCTGCTGAGGGGAGGCGGGACGATTCAGTTTGGGAGAGGGGGAGCGGTCATTTGAGGAAGGGGGCAAGATGGGTTCAATATGGAGGAGGGAACAGGGTCATTGTCGTCTGGGGGAAGGGGCCAGTTTGGGGAAGTGGACAGGGGTGCCATAGTCTGGGGAGGTTTCCAGTTTGGGGAAGGTGGTGGGGGGGCACCGTTGACTGGGGAGGGTGATGGGACGGGTTGTGTTTGGAGTGGGGAGTGGGTGCTGTCGTGTGGAGAGGGGAGGGGGATGCGTTCAGCTTGGGGGAGGGTAGGTGGGGTGCCATCTTCTGGGGAGGGGGGGCGGGACATGTCTGGTTTAGGGCTGGGGGCGCCATCATCTGCAGAAGGGGGTGAGACATGAAATATGGGGGAGGTGGCAGGGGGCGCAGTCATGTGGGGAAGGGGCAGGACGGGCCCAGTTTGGGGGTGGAAATGGGGACGGTCGTCTGAGGAGGGAGGTGGGATGGGTCCACTTTGGGGAAAAGGGTGGTGGAATCATAGAATCATAGAATATCAGGGTTGGAAGGGACCTCAGGAGGTCATCTAGTCCAACCCCCTGCCCAGAGCAGGACCAATCCCCAATTAAATCATCCCAGCCAGGGCTTTGTCAAGCCTGACCTTAAAAACTTCTAAGGAAGGAGATTCTACCACCTCCGTAGGTAACGCATTCCAGTGTTTCACCACCCTCCTAGTGAAAAAGTTTTTCCTAATATCCAACCTAAACCTCCCCACTGCAACTTGAGACCATTACTCCTTGTCCTGTCCTCTTCTACCACTGAGAATAGTCTAGAACCATCCTCTCTGGAACCACCTCTCAGGTAGTTGAAAGCAGCTATCAAATCCCTCCTCATTCTTCTCTTCTGCAGACTAAACAATCCCAGTTCCCTCAGCCTCTCCTCATAAGTCATGTGTTCCAGACCCCTAACCATTTTTGTTGCCCTTCGCTGGACTCTTTCCAATTTATCCACATCCTTCTTGTAGTGTGGGGCCCAAAACTGGACACAGTACTCCAGATGAGGCCTCACCAATGTCGAATAGAGGGGGACGATCACGTCCCTCGATCTGCTCGCTATGCCCCTACTTATACATCCCAAAATGCCATTGGCCTTCTTGGCAACAAGGGCACACTGCTGACTCATATCCAGCTTCTCGTCCACTGTCACCCCTAGGTCCTTTTCCGCAGAACTGCTGCCTAGCCATTCGGTCCCTAGTCTGTAGCTGTGCATTGGGTTCTTCCGTCCTAAGTGCAGGACCCTGCACTTATCCTTATTGAACCTCATCAGATTTCTTTCTTTCTGGAGCCATCATTTGGGCAGGGGGGCGGGATGGGTCTAGTGTGGGGTGGGGGAGAGCCGTTGTCAACTGGGAAGGGGCCAGGATGGGTCCAATTTGGGGCAGGGGGGAGCTGTCTTTATCTGGGGAGGGGGTGGGATGGGTCCAGTTTGGGGCAGGGGGGTGCCATTGTCTGCGGAGGGTGGCAGGAGGGGTCCAGCTTGGGGAAGGTAGTGGGGGCACTGTCATCTGGGGAGGGGGGAAGGCCGAGTCCAGTTTGGGGAAGGGGGTAGGGGGTGCTGTTATCTGGGGAATGGGGCAGGGTGGGTCCAGTTTGGGGCAGGGGGTGGGGGCCACCATCATCTGGGGAGGGGGCGGGATGGGCTCAATTTGGGGGAGGGGCCTTCAGTGCCATTGTCTGAGGAGGGGGGTGGCACAGGTCCAGTTTGGGGTAGGGAGTGGGGGCGCAGCCCTCTAGGGAGGGGGCAGGATGGGTCTAGTTTGGGGGAGGGGCAGGACGGGTCCAGTTTGCAGGAGGGGTAGGCAGGGCACAGTCATTTGGTGCGGGGGGTGGGATGTGTCCAGATTGTGGTGGGGGGCGTCATCATTGTCGTCTAGGGAGGGGGGGCGGTAGGGATCCAGTTTGTGGGAGCGGTGGACGGGGTGCAATCAGCTGGGGAGGGGGCAGGACGGTGCCATCATCTGGGGAGGGGCGTCGGATGGGTCCATTTTGTGGGAGGGCATGGTGGGCACCATCATCTGTGGAGTGGAGCGGGATGGATCCAGTTTGGTGGAGGGGGCAGGGGCACTGTCATCTGGGGAGTGGGGCAGGACGTTGTCTCGGAGTCATTAGGACGATGCTCTGGAACTACTCCATATAAGGCCAGTCAAGACTCTGGTGTAGCATGTCGGCAGGGCAAGAAGTTTACACCGCTTTCACCTTCCTGGATCTGACCTTGGAGCATTCAGCATCCCCTTCCACACCATGTGCTTCCCGCAGCGAGTCCACCCAGGCGGGGCTCCTGGGGAAGCCAGAGGGCCCTGCACCCCAACTCTGCAGTCAGACATGACTCTCAGCCAGTGTAAAACAGAAGGTTTATTAGTCGACAGGAACACAGCGTAGAACAGAACTTGTTAGCACAGAAATCAGTGACTTTCAGCCAAGTCCATCTTGGGGAGTCCTGGACCAGAAGCCGTGGACTCCCCCTCTTCCAGTCCCCCCAAGCAAACTGCCAGCTTCCAGCAACCCAACCTCAGACACCGCTGAGTCATCGTGGATAGTTCTCTGAAGACGTCCACGCAGTGTGCAGGGGCAGTCAAAAAAGTTAACAGGATGTTAGGAATCATTAAAAAAGGGATAGAGAATACATGTTCCCATAATATAAGAACTAGGGGCCATCAAATGAAATTAATGGGCAGCAGGTTTAAAACAAATAAAAGGAAGTTTTTCTTCACACAGCGCACAGGCAACCTGTGGAACTCCTTGCCTGAGGAGGTTGTGAAGGCTAGGACTATAACAGGGTTTAAAAGAGAACTAGATAAATTCATGGGGGTTAAGTCCATTAACCTTAGCCAGGATGGGTAAGGAATGGTGTCCCTAGCCTCTGTCAAAGGCTGGAGATGGATGGCAGAAGAGAGATCACTTGATCATCACCTGTTAGGTTCACTCTCTCTGGGGCACCTGGCATTGGCCACTGTCGGTAGACAGGATACTGGGCTGGATGGACCTTTGGTCTGACCCAGTATGGCTATTCTTATGTTCTTATGTTGCCCTCCTCCTTGTCTTTGTCTTGCTTCCCGGGCAAAGAGTCAGCTGGTCGTCACCTGGTTGCATCCCCCTCCTGGGTCTCAGGTTACAAAGGGCACCGGTCATAGCATACATGCAGACAGCTGGAACAGCCTCACCTGCCCCAGAGGTCTCAGCCAAAGTGACACACCCCTATTCCTACCACCGAGGTATTGGTGCAGCACACAGGGAAACTGAGGTACACATTATTCATGCAAAACAGTAAAACTCACATAGGCTCAACAGTAAGACTCACATACAACATAACAAGGATAACCCCCCACTTCCTCACAGAAGGTTCCATTTTGGGGAGGCTGCGGGGGTGCCATTTTCTGGGGAGGGAGGCAGGATTTGTCCAATTTGGGGGCAGGGGGCAGGACAGATCCAGTTTGGGGAAGATGCCGGGGGCGGTGTTGCCTGGGGAGAGGGGTGGGACAGGTTGAGTCTGGGGGAGGGGCGGGGGATGCCATCATCTGGGGAGGAGGGTGGGATGGGTCTAGTTGGGTCAGGGGGGACCGTCGACTGGGGAGGGGAGCAGGACATGTCCAGTTTGGGGCATGGGGAGTGCCGTCGTCTGGGGATGGGGGCAGGACAGGTTGACTTTGGGGGAGGGGGAGGGGAACACTGTCATCTGGAAAGGGAGGCAGGATGGGTCAAGTTTGGGGGAGAGGGCTGGGGACGCCATAATCTGGGGAGAGGGGTGGGATTAGTCCATTTTGGGGCAGGGGGGTGCTGTCGTCTGAGGAGGGGGCAAAATGTGTCCAGTATGGTTAGAGGGGCAACGTTGTCTGGGGAGGTAGGAGGGGCACGTCCAGTTTGGGGGAGTGGCAGGGGGGTGCCATAGTCTGGGGAGGGGAGGGGGATGCGTCCAGTCTGGGGTAGGGGGTGCCCTCCTCTGGGGCGGGGAAGGACGGATCCAATTTGGGGTGGTGGGTCGCCATCATCTGGGGGGGCAGGGCAGGTCCAGTTTTGGGGGATGGTATTGTTCTCTGTGGAGGAGGGAGGGATTGGTCCAGTTTGAGGGAGGGGGCAGGGAGAGGGGAGTGGGATGGGTCTGTTGGGATATTTTAGGGTTAAGTATTGCAATAAGCTGCTAATGCGCTGACATGGCATTAGGGGACAAAGGCAAAAGTGGGCAGTTTATTTCTTTGTTTAATAAATAAATTGCCATATTTGTCCCTTCCCTGTTGCTTGTAAGGATAGATAAGGATGCAGCTGCAGGAGAAATGTAGTTGTCAAATAAATGCCCTTTGTGTGAAAGAAGGAAAAGAAATGTTATCTCCCCCTCCCTTCCTTTCCCAGCTACATAAACAAGCCCTGGTTTATGGCCCCTTCCTCCCTCCCCTGAGAACTGCTCAAGGCCCTTCCTCCCTCCCTCCCCTAAGAACAGCTGAGTCAGGAAATTTGTAGCAACAGATTGTTGCAAAGAAATGTATCTTCAAGATAAAAATGCCTGTATGATGGGTAATGC